AACTAAATCGGCACACTTTCTTCCAAGAAAGACCACTTATAGCTCGAGCTAGTATGCCTAATTATATGTTAATGAAATCGTGAGACTACATGGAGTTCTAGTCTCAATTGTGTCCGATTGAGATCCTAGATTCACCGTAACCTTCCGGAAGAGTTTGCATCGAGCCATGGGGACAAAGCTAAACTTTAGCATGGCTTACCATCCACAAACCGATGGACAATCGAACGGGTCATACGGATACTTGAAGACATGCTACAAGCATGCGTTCTTAATTGGTCTATAAAATGAGAGAAGTACGTATGCCTTGCGGAGTTTGCCTACAATAATAGCTATCAAGCATCCATCGGGATGGCTTCTTATGAGGCTTTGTATGGACGACGATGTTGATCCCCAATACACTAGGATGAAGTAGAGGAAAGAAAATTATCGGGCCCCGAATTGATGCAACAAATGGCCGAGGCAAGTGGAAAAGATTCGTCAATGGATGAAAATAACCCAAAGTTGACGGAAAAGCTATGCCGATCGGAGGAGAAACGAGTCGGAGTTTGCAGTCGATGACTATGTTTTCTTAAGGGTTTCACCGACAAAAGGCATATTGCGATTTGGGACGAAAGGAAAATTGAGTCCACGATATATTAGATTGTTTGAAATACTATACCATATAAGGGGTAAGGCATACCGCCTATTACTACCGTCAACCTTATCGAGAGTACATGATGTCTTTCACATGTCTATGTTAAGAAAATGCATTTAAGAGCCTAGTCGGGTTCTAGAGGCGGTTCCATCGAACTTGACGCCGAACTTAACATACGAGAAAAAACCAATCCAGCATTCTCGATCGATGACTTAAACACTTAAGGAATAAAGAAATTGCCTTAGTTAAAGTTTTATGGGAGAATCATAACCTCGAAGAAATGACTCGGGAACTAGAAGAGGAAATGAAAAAGAAATACCCGTAGTTATTTGTATAAACCAAATTTCGAGGATGAAATTTCTTTTAAGAAGGGGAGAAATGTAACTCCCGTGAACTTATTTAATGTAGCTATACGTACGAAAATAATTTTATCTATAACTACTAAGTTGCAATTATGATTTTTGTGTCATGTTGTGTTTGGTGGGTTTAAAATGCTTGGGTAAAAAAAAATTATTTTTTATGTTTCGAAATTTAATTCTCGAGCCCAAATTATCTTTTGAAAAATCCATAATTATGTAAGCATAAATTATTTGTTATTTTTTTTTATATTTATGGTGTGAAAATAGTTAAGGTTTATTGAAGTGTTCATATGAATATCCTTTTTTGAGAAATTAATTAGTCGGTATTTATTTTTTTCATAATGTATATTTAAAATGACCATACAAGTGAAAAATATGTCCCATTTAAGAGGTATGGTCGAACTTTTAGAGCTAGGTAAGGTTAGGAAGTTGGTTAATTTTAATCACCTTTTAATTTCTTTCTTTAGTTAGTGATGTGATATAAAATCTTCCACCATACTTCCAATTGTACTTTCTCACTTAATTTTGGAAGGTTAAACACTCCAACTAGCCTCTCTTTTGTCTTCATCAATTGACCTCTCTTACCACAAAAATTGGACACTTGGCATATTAAATATAAAAGAAATAATGGTTTAAAAGATGTGATATAAAAAAAAATAGAAGGAAAGCTTAAGACTTGGCATCTTTTTTTGTCAAAAATGTATCTTGCAAAGAAGGGAGAGAGAGTGATAGTTTTGTGAGGGAAGAAAGGGAAGAAAGAAAGGAGAAAAAGAAAGGAAAGAAAGGAAGGAGAAAGAGAAGAATAAAAGCTAAGAAATCTTAACCAAACACACATAATTGTAACTAGGTTTCATTTATCATTATTTATGCCTTAAAATTTAAATGTTTATGTTTATTTTATGAGTTTTTTTAAGCTATGTAATATGTGATTATGGAATTTTGTGTTGATGTTAAAAAATTGATGTTTGTTCATGGATGTATGATGTTTTGATGATGGATTTATTTTGGAGGTAACACATGGTGGAAAATTTTTAGTTTTGAAATTTGTGTGATTTATTTTGAGCTCTTAGAGTGGTTTCTAGGAAAAACTCTAAGATTTAAAGTTGTTTATCTATATGTCTACTAGCTATTTATAAAATTTGGTAACTTTTAGATCTATATATAAAGAGTTATGGCTGATTTGGTACGGATTGTTTGAATGTATCACATGTTGGAAAAATGTTTAGTTTCGAACTTTGTGTGATTTATTTAGGAATGCTAGAGTGATTTCGGGAAAAACTCAAAGAGCCAATATTGTTCATGTGTCTACTAGTGCTTCGTAAAATATCATAATGTTTAGATATATATATAAGGATTTTATGGTCGATTTGGTATAGGTTGTTTAGATGTACCACTCGCTAGAAAATTTTGAGGAAAGATATGAGTTTAGGTACTTAAACTTGATTAGTTAAGGTGTTTAATTAGAATAAGTATTTAATTATACACCTAAGCCACCCTAATATAACCATATGGGTTTGGGAGATATATATAAATGGGCTTGGACTTAAAATAAAGTGGATTTGGAATAAAACACATGGACTTGATCTAAAACAAAGTGGGCTTGGACTAAAATAAAAAGGAGTTTGGATTACAATCAATGGACTTGAGTTAGAATAAAAATATGCTTGGATTAAAACAAAATGGAATTGGATTAAAAAAAATAGACTTGGGCTTGGATTAAAAATAAATGGGCTTAGACTAAAATAGAGTAGTCTTGGATTAAAATAAAATGGAATTAAATTTAAATAAATGAAATTGGGTTTAGATTAAAATAAATGGACTTGGACTAAAACAAAATGAGTTTGGATGAAAATAAATGGGCTTGAATCTCCTAAGAACACTTAGTGGGCCTTGGTACTAAAATGATCAAGTTGGATCATATCATGAAAATATTGATGAATACCCAATTGTGGATTGAATTTCTAAAATGGCAGAGACATAAATAGTTTGGTGCCTATGAGATATGGAATGTGGTTCATGATACATGAAATAGATTAACCCTAGTGGACGGGTTTTGAATTCTTTGTGTGAACTCAATGGTACGAAATCGACGAGTTTAATACCCATGACTTGGTGGAATGTGGTTTATGATATATCACGTGTATCATATGCATATGGGAATGAATTAAATTGAGAAAAACCATTGAGTCGAAAACGATAAGGTTTGGTAACCGAATCGAATGAAAATTGGATAGGTTTGGTAACCTATCGAATAAAGGGGGTATTAGCGATCCGATTGTGTGCATACTCTAAGTCGTGTGCCTCGCACCGTTAGACGATGGATTCTCGCTAAAAGTGGCTACAACGAAGGATAATTCCATTGTAGCAAAAGGTGAGCCGCGGTTCACCCGGATTAAATATAGAGTAGACTTGCTAATACCCAAGGTATCCGTAAATAAAATTTGATGAGTCAAAGTGAGGGAAGTCATAAAAGCATTGCATATCATGTGCATCACCCTACTTATCGAGCTTCGGCTCACTCGTGTTTATTTTATGCCTTGATAGGTAAAGGTGATACTAATGCCGATAATGAAGCTCGCCGGTTCCTCCTAGAAAAAGCTCATGTGTGACACAAAAAAAAAAAATTATAGGATCTACCTTTGTTTGTAAATTACATTTTGTAATTTTTATAATGATATTCGGTACATTGGGTATGTGTATGAGATTAAATTTGAGACTTCGGCCTCTAAACTATAATGCACCCAGATCACGCCTTTTAGGTAATCGACAAGTGAGCCGGGGGCGCCTCACGAAGACTTGTTAAAAATTAGTTTATAATCTTTTAATAGTATGAAAATAATGCTTTTCACTTTTTCTTTCGACTTTCATAATCTTTTTGAGCCACTCTCTTTGTATAGCAAAATATCGATAAATACTTTCAACAGGTATTTGATATATGAATTATTAAATATTCTTTTATAATGTGTTTGATGAGAATATAATTATTAAAAATGTAAAATTTGTGATTAATTAAAATTGAAAATTTCTCTTAATGTGTCTTTATTATGTTTGGTTCATCAATCACAAGAATTTCATGAGAAATTTAAATAAATTTACTATTTTATCATCGAGACTTAAAATTTCCAATTTGTCAATATTTTTTTTCTAATAATTATGTACATAAACACATATATAATATGTTAATTAATTACATTTAAAACCAATATGTCAACATATATGATTTTTTTCTACATAATTACCTTTAAAACCATGGGTTAAAGTTTTACGGTAATTAAAAAAAATAAGGGTTATTAATTTCAAAAACAAAAATTCCGCATTCCCTTCCACTGAAAAATATGATTCCCTCTCATATTTCTATTTTGGAAGAAATGTGATGCTCTAAGAGATTTTAAATGTCCTGCCATTTAACATTTTTTTATTAAGTGAATAAATACAGATATATTTGACACCTAAGATTGTTGTCTAATTCTGGGCTTCATGTTTTCTCCTTGGTCGCTTTCTGTGGGCTTCTAACTAAACAGTATTTGTATCTTTCTCTGGGCCCTTAAAAATATAAAATCCAGTTTTATGTATTATTAAAACTATTTGCCTGTAGAATCGCAAACCGCTGCACGAGGCCGCGGGATAATGTTCACGGGAGTGCCTAAGCACGCCAATCATCAATCTTGTGATCCGGAGAATGAAAAAACAAATACCTAAAAATTAAATATGACAAAACCCACCAATATTTAGCTTAGAATCTCTTACATGCCAGCTAAATTCATGGCCAGCCTTTCTTCAAATCACATGCTCCCCTCTAGTTGTCAATATTTTGGTATGCGTAGTATTTGTCTTATCATTTGTAGCAATTAATTTACACGTTCCAAAGAGCCCCTTCCTGTCTATAAAACGTACGCTCATGCACATTGTTACAATGATCTATTCACAATACTATAAACAAAAATCTAATTATACGACCACATTTGCATTAATTGGCGCTTTTCATGATATACTGAAGTTTTGAGTAGATGGACTCCAAGAGTTCGTCGGCTGCTCTCTTCCTCTCTCTCAACTTTCTCTTCTTTGCCCTAGTGACTGGGTGCAACACTTGTGTTCAGCCTAAGCCTTTCCAAAAACCCAAACCAAACCCTACTGTTTCAAAAAATAGTTGCCCTAGAAATGCCCTAAAGCTGGGTGTCTGTGCCAAGTTGCTTGATGGTACAATTGGTGGGGTTGTTGGAAGCCCACCAGATACACCTTGTTGCACAGTACTTCAAGGACTTATTGATCTTGAAGCAGCCGTGTGCCTCTGCACTGCTATTAAAGCAAACATCCTCGGCATTAACATTGATATCCCAATCTCTTTGAGCTTGCTTATCAACACATGTGGGAAGAAGCTCCCCTCTGACTTCATCTGTGCCTAATCATGCACTAAATTGCCTTTCTATGCCTCTGTGTCCTTATTACTAGGATTTTTTTCCTAGTTACTTGTGTTTTCGTATTGTGAAAATTGTTCAATAATCTTACATTGGGATCATGTTCTCATTAGAACCAAAATTAAGTTGGCCCTCATGTGGACCATACATTCAATTTCTTAATTTTCCAATTGGCTGAGATCCATCATTAATTTCGTTCAGTTGACTACAATGCAATGCAAGTAATTATAACATAGCTAGAAAATATATGGATTGAATCGTGTACATCGTTAGATCTTTATGTACGTGCGCATGTAATAATCAGCTCTAACTAAACTCAGAATGTAATGTTATATGTAGGACTGTATATTTATGAAAATGAGGGGGGCGCGCGCGCGCATATATATATATATATATATATATATATATGAAAAAAAGTATTATACTTCAGAGTTGAATTTTGTGGCACGTAAGCGGGAATAAGTCACATTTTCTTGGTAAAAGAATTGTTAAACCCATGTGTAAGAATTGTCAAAGGCCATAACCCAAAAATTGTGAGATCCTTTTCTTTAGTTCATAAAAAAATCTGCTCGGCTTCGAAATATGCAAAGAGTGAGAAATAGACTCGCATTCCCTTTCCTTCGCATTGTAGAAGCATTTGAGGCTTGAGCCCAACAACTAATTAGCAGGCTCGTCGTTTGCACGTAGTTTCATACCATCTAACTAGACTTTGTCTAGTTCATAGTTTTGTGGATCAGTGAGAGCAATCCAAGTGGAGGGACCTCGAACTTGTGAACTCATACTCATCTTCATTTGGGTCCATGGGCTTCATCCAGGCTAAACCAAGTAGATCGGTAAAAACTAGATGGTGACTCCATCAATTTACCAGTTTACCTCTCTTTTCTCTGTTATCTAGATCGGGTTGTCAATTTTTTTTTCCTTAATTAAACCATGAGCATGACGACGATAGGGTGCCTGTTTGTTTACATTCCTTCAGTATTTCCACTATACAGTAAAAATGAGATTTAAATCTAGATTAAAATTTAAAAACAAAGTTATAGTCTTACAGACGATATTAATGGACTGCGTGCACGGGCTTCATTCTTGCCTCGTCCAAAAAGATTCTTTGAAGGAAATTATGGAGATGCCTAATTTAATGCAAGTTACTCTAGACACCATTTGTTAAATAAAACCGAAAATAAAAAAGATTAAATTTTACACGGACAAAGAACTCTCCAATTACAAGAAAACTTGTTTCAATTGCTAATGCAAACTCAGTGGCAAGCTCACAATCCATTGATTCAAGTCAGACATAAGAGAGAATGGTCGTCTTTCAACATGTCATTGTGAATCAATAGTTCAAGAAAATACATCATCAGCTTCAATACCGACCACGTGTGAATTAGGAGTGATCATTCGGTTTTTCGATTCGATTTCGATATTTTTTTTTATTAACCGAATTGGCTAAAACAAAAATCAAAACCAAACCGAATTGAGGTTCGGTTTTTCGGTTAAAAAATCAAAATTTTCGATTCCGTTTTCCGTTAAAAACCGAATTTTTATTTTTATTTTATTTTAATTTATTTTTATATTTTTATTCTAAAAACCGAATTATTTTAGTTTTAAAAAATATCAAACTTGCATAATCAAAGATTGCATATTTCACATTTGATTTTATAAAAAAAATTATGTAAGATTATTATTATTTTTCTATACTAAATTTGTTTCTATTTATTTTATAAACTATATTGGTTCGGCTTCTCATTATTTTTTCAATCACACTACAATTTGTTTTTTTGTTTTTTTTTTCATATTCTTTTTAATCTACTTATTTTGTGCATATTTTATTGTTGAATAAATAATATGAAAAATCTAATTTTTAATTTATGTTTAGTATAAGCATAAAAAGAGTGAAACAATTATTATTTTTAGTTATTAATACTACTATAGTACTATTATAAATGCAGCGGCTTTAGGTAAATTTTTTTAGGAGATATTTTTGTGCCAATTTTAATACATGGAGACAATTTTTTTTTTCATGAGGTTTTAGAATTCACTCACACATAAACTTGTGTATTTATAAAAAATTACTTTATCATAATCTTTTTTTATTTGTTTGTGTGTCAATATAATATAATCAATTATTTTTTTATTTCAATAAATAATTAATGAAAATATTTTTATTTTAAGTAGAAAAAAATCATTAAAGCTATTGTTCTTTTAGTTAAATCCATAGATGCCTCTTTTATTTTTATTTTTTAAAAAAAGAGCTTGGGTATGTGTTTAAAATAAATAAATAAATAACTAATTCAGTTTTTGTTGGAAACCGAATTTGAAAAAAAAACCCGAACCGAACCAAAATAATTTCGATTTTTGGTTTCGGTTTTTTTTTCAAATTTCTTTTAAAAACCAAACTCGAAATTGCTAATTCGGTTTGGTTTGATTTTTTGGTTTTAACCTAATAATGCTCACCCCTAATGTGAATTGAAATTAGTGAGGCCTCGATTCGAGACAAATTCTTCGCATGCCCCAAACATGCCAAAAAAAAAAAACTTTTCTAGCTATGGTCATTGTTTTTGTCCTTTGTTTCTCTATTTATGTGCGACTATTGCATAATACAAATGACATGTCCATTGTTGTTACCGGTAAGGATAAAAACTCATGCTCTTATTATTTTTTCAATATTTTAGTTAACAATAGTTTATTTTTCTTGTACATCTCTTATATTTATCTTCTCTAATTACATTATATACTAAGGAATACTTTTATAAAGTATTTCTATTAAATGAGTTAATAAACCATTTACATTGCATTAGAGTCAATAAGGATTAGCAATCCATGATATTGTTCTTGTTTTTAGACTCACCATGACCGCCACTAATACTCCATCGACTAGAACCTTCCGCTCACTACCCTCTCTTCCTCTACCTGCAGCTCCAAGCATTTCTTCCTCATCTCCACAATCCGTCCATCTTCAAACTTATTTCCACCAACTTCATCTTATGGCAAACACAACTTCATTCTTATTGTTTCTATTATTTTGGGAGTTTATATGTTAATTTCTATAGAATAATTCTAGGTTTATAGTAAGTTTTTATTTTATTTTCTTATTATTTTCATAATATCTTAATAGTATTTTAAGTCGTTATTTTTAGCATATTTTTAAGGTTATAAATATGTTTTGATCCCGACTTAAATTATGTTTTATTTAGGTCTAGGACCAAATTAGAAACAAAGAAGGGCAATTAAGCATAAAGGAAAGTGACTCAAGAGTCACAACCATGACTTTAAAAGGAAAAGAAAAAGCTCATGGTCAAAGCCACGGTGAACTTTAAGAAAGGATGCTTAATTCACGACCATAACTAACTTAGTCATGGGCGTGGCCTTCATCAAGTCATAGCGAGTGGCTTGATTCACACGGCCATGACTCTTAAAAGGGTCGCGCCTATGACCAACTTAATCATAGGCGTGACCTTCATCAAGTCATAGTAATGGCTTGATTCACACGGCATGACAACCGATTTTCTTATTCTTCAAGGTTACAGAGTGAATTATGCAGATTTTTAGCAAACGAAAAATGAAGATTGTGGAGAGTTTGAGCAAATATAATTTTGGAACTAAGAGCTATATATAGGAAACGATGTAACCGAATACCCCATTGGATGATAGAGAATTCACCCGTCATTAAAAATTCTCTCAAAAGTCGTAGACTTTCCAAGTAGCCACCTATTCTCTTGATAGCCATTGAAGACGGACAAGAGAGGCTTGCAAGGACTCGTGCTTAAGCCGTAACGGAGGCCAACCTCGACTGAGCAGAGCCAAACCGCATTTCTTCTAAATCTCCGATTTTATTGCTTTCAATTCTTGATTGTGAAAACATGGAATTTATTTTGATTAAATCGGTGGATGTTTATCTTTCAATTATGAGCTAAATTCTATTTTGAGAATTAACGGATCCTTTTATTGAATATGTTTAATTAAATTGGTTATTTAGTTGTTCTTGCCATTCGTTTTGTGACTCTGGACTTATTTATATATGAGTGTTTGGCCAACGATTATATATATGTAGTATTGAATAGAGGTGGATCGATAAAATTCAATACTAGACTAAAGGATTATAAACATTAGGTTATCAATGAGAAATCCACTAACTTAGTGAAGAGAGATTAATAAAAGGATTAATTAATTTAATCAAGCTTTAGACTTTCCAAATATGAAAGTTACGAAAGTATTCAGCTAATTAAATTAATATCCGATACTAATTTCTACAAGAATAATTATTTAAGGAATTTTAATTAAACATAGGATTTAATTGATGACGTTAATTTTTCAAGAATTTTCTCATCTTGATTTCTATTTTTAGTTTTGTTACGATTACGGTAATTGCTTGCATTTTTTTTTAATTTATAATTTCCAAATCATAATCTAGTTAAAGTGTTTAGGATTTTACTTTATTGTTCTTGTTTGCGATTAGGATTAAATTATTTTATGCCAATAACATATCCTTGAGAATACGACTTTGGGGTGACTCACTAGTACTATAATTACCTCGTACACTTATGACTATTTTCCCGTTAATTTTTAGTACACTTTTGGGCACAACAAGTTTTTGGTGCCATTGTCTGGGGAGGTGTAACGCGCTATAGTTTAGTTTAATTCTAATTACCGTGGTATTTTATTCTAATCTTTAGTGTTGTTTTTGTTTGCTTACCGTAAAACAAAATCATCAATATTTATGGTTTAAGCGTCTTTTGATTAATTTAGTTTAATTTATTGATTTCTTTATTTCCTTTTCTTCTTTTGTATGCACGGTAGGTGCTCTCAAAGAAACGCATTGGCTCCCTTCATCGATAATATACAAAGAATCCAAAGGGGCCAAGGACTTAGAGAGGAAGGAAGTGATCTAGAAGAGCAAATTAACAAAGAGGCAGTGGAAGACGAACCAATGGAAAATGATGTCATGAGGGATCGACGAATTATGATGAAGGAATATGCTAGACCAATCGTTG